AGCCCTGGTCAAAATCACAGGAGTAGCTGAAACAAGCATGCTGGGCTGAGGTAGTGGAGATGAGGTAAGAAACAAGATGCGGTGGGAGTAATTCTTAGACAATCAGCAGTCATGACTACAGTTCTCCATTTGTCTAGCATTAATCAGGTTATAATATTCTATATGTACCAAACTGAATGTAATGAGTGCAAATAATTCTGAGGGAGCCTTGAAAAACTTCTCTCTCATGTACTTGCTTAGTCTGCATTTCTCCTACAGCATGAATAAAAATACTTCATATTAGTTTAAATATGATACGCTTAAGAGTTTAGTATAAGGATACCCAATTTAGCACCAAGCAAATTGTCAGCTCAAAAAAACAACTCTGAAGAAAGAAATTCTTTAATTAAAGATTAACTTACAACTGACAAAAGTATTCATCTTTTACTTCCCTTTCAAATAGAATTAACATGGACATATCATTTAGAACAAGTCTGCTCTTAGAAAATGCAGAATGGCATTCTCTTTTTGTAAAAGTTGCTAGACAAACATTTCCAATCTTAACTCTCCCTCCATGTGAGCAGAAGAAAGCCAGGAAATTATCATTTTTCTGCTGAATGCATTCTTAAGTTCTTATTCAAAATGTTGCCAACATAGTTATTCTAATTAAAATGTCTTAAAAACTATCCCTAAGACATCTATTCACAAGTTCAAGAAAAAGAGAATACATTTTCCAAATATTTCTGCTTAATGCAAATATATGAAATGGCGATTTTCTGTATCATGAAGAATAAATATACCAGATGTCAGAGACAGCAGTCAGCTCTTGGGTGCATTTCCTAGAAAACATCTCCATAGCTCACTTCTAAGAATCAACCAACCAGAGGTGACGCTCTGCTAGGTTTGGCCCTGGCCAAAGGAGATGACCTGGTGACCAACTTAAACACAGAGAGAAGTCTGGGTGACAGCGACCACGAAACCATCATGTTCACTGTTTGATGTAAGGCAGACTAATCAGATAGCAGGATTGAAGTCTTGGACTTCAAAAATGCAAATTTCAATAAGCTTAGGTCACTAGTAGGGCAAGTGCTGCAGGACCAGGGACCGAATGCGAAAGGTGTTCATGAAGAGTGTTTTTTCTTTAAGAACACGATCCTTGAAGCACAAAGGAAGTCCATTCCCATATGGAGAAAAGGTAACAGAAGGACCGTGAAGCCCTCTGGGCTAAACAGGGAAATTACAGTCCTTGTTAGAAAGGAAAAAGATGCTTATAAACAATGGAAGCTTGGGGCAGGCCCCAAGGAAGACTTCTCCACGACAGCCTGCATTTGCAGGGAATGGATAAGAAAGGATAAAGCGGCGACTAAACTTAGATTAACAATGGGAATCAAGGACAACCAGAAGTCCTTCTTTAGGTACATAGGGAACAGGAAAAAAAACAAAATGGGACTGTGGGGCCACTGCTCAACAATGCAGAAGAGCTGGTTACCAGCACCCAGAAGAAAGCTGAACTCCTGAATGACTACTTCACCTTGATCTTTCACTGGACCAAGAGGAAAACCACATCAGGTAGAGTAGAGGATAAGCACGGTAGGAATAATCTATTTCCTACTATTGCCATAGAATTGGTGTTTGACCAATTAATAAAATTAGATGTATGCAAGTCAGCAAGACCATCTTCATCCAAGAGTGCTGAAGGAGCTGGCCGAAGTCATTGAAGAACACCTGGCAACACTGTTCCACAACTCATGACACTCTGGAGAAGTCTCTAAGGACTGGAAGAGGGCTAATGATGGGTCCTCCCTCCTGCCTTTCTTGTGGATGGGCACAGGTACCAATCAGCTTAACTTCCATCCTGGGGAAAATCCTAGAAAAATGCATCAAGGAGGCTATCTGCGATAAGCTTGCAGAAAGTAAGATTCTGAATGATGGTCACCATGGCTTCATCATGGGCAGGTCTTGCCTTACCAACCTCATCTCCTATGACCAGGTAACTCGCCACCTGGACACGAAACAGCAGGTTGACAATGTATACCTAGACTTCCAAAAGGCCTTTGATCTAGTAACCTACGATGTCCTCGTGAGAAAATTGGAGGATTGTAAGCTTAACTCTGAGACAGTCAGGTGGGTGAAAAACTGGCTGCAGGATAGGGCCTAGAGTCATAGCAAACGGATCTGTATCATCCTGGTGAAAAGTAGGCAGCAGTATCCTCCAGGGGTCGGTGCTTGGTCCAGTACTTTTCAATATCTTTATTAACGATTTGGATGTGGGGGTGAAGAGCTCACTGGCCAAATTCGCAGACAATACCAACTTATGGGGAAGCATGGTCATGCTTGAAGATAGGCTACAGTTACAGGCAGACCTAGACAGGCTACCAAATTGGCCAGATTGGAACCTGATGAAGTTCAACGTTGAGAAATGTAAAGTGCTCCACCTCAGGACAACCAACCCCCAACACACCTACAGGCTTTGCAGCACCAAGCTGACTAGCACCACAAATGAAAGGGATCTGGGGGTAATAATAGACCACAGTATGAAGATGAGTTGGCAGTGCGATGCTGTAGCCAATAGGGCAAACAATACTCTGGCGTGCATCAATCGATGCATCTCCAGCAAAGCCAAGTAGGTGATTCTTCCACTCTACACAGCACTGGTGAGACCGCAGCTGGAGTACCGCATCCAGTTCTGGGCCTCTCACTTTAACAAGCACATGGACAAGCTTGAGAGAGTCCAAAGAAGAGTCACTCATATGATCAGAGTCTTAAAAGGCAAGTCACATGAGGAAAGGCTGAAGGATCTGGGACTCTTCAGCCTGAGGAAAAGAAGGCTGAGATGGGATCTGGTAGCAGCTTACTGCTACACTAGGGGAGTACATCAAGGGCTCGGTGAGCAACTGTTCACCAGGGTATCCGAGGGGAAAACCAGGAGTAATGGCCACAAACTTCTGGAAGATCAATTCAGACTCAACATTAGGAAAAACTTCTTCACAGTCAGGGTGTCCAGACTGTGGAATAACCCTGCAAATCTTCAAGAGGAGACTAGACAGTCACCTTGCTGGGGTCACCTGACCCGCAGTTATCTTTCCTGCTTCGTGCAGGGGGCTGGACCCAATGATCTTCCAAGGTCCCTTCCAGCCTTACAATCTATGAATCTATGAACATAGTAAAGGACAACAAACAGACCCTCAATCTATTTGGTAATCACAATACATAATGTGTTGCATATTTGGTATTTTTTTTAAATGACTACAAGGAATGTCTATTTACCTGGGAAGGTCTTAGCCAGCAGTTCTAAAACTGTGGGTCATAGTTTCATAGTTCCATAGTTTCTAGGGTCGGAAGGGACCTGAGCAGATCATCTAGTCCGACCCCCTGCCATGGCAGGAAGAGCACTGGGGTCAAACGACCCCAGTAAGGTGGTCATCCAACCTCCTCTTAAAAACCCCCAGGGTGGGAGCCTGCACCACCTCACTTGGAAGCTGGTTCCAGACCCTAGCCGCCCTGACCGTGAAGTAGCGCCTCCTGATGTCCAACTTAAACCTTCCCTCCGCCAGCTTGTGACCATTGTTCCTGGTCACTCCTTGCGGCGCTCGGGGGAACAGGGACTCCCCCAGCGCCTGCTGATCCCCCCTAACCAGTTTATAACAGGCCACAAGATCCCCCCTCAGCCTTCTCTTTTGAAGGCTGAACAGGTTCAGGTCCCGCAACCTTTCCTCATAGGACCTACCCTGCTGTCCCTTGATCATACGAGTGGCCCTCCTCTGGACCCTCTCCATGCTGTCCACATCCCTCTTGAAGTGCGGCGCCCAGAACTGGACGCAGTACTCCAGCTGCGGCCTGACCAGTGCCGCATAGAGGGGGAGGATCACCTCCTTGGACCTGCTCGAGATGCATCTGTGGATGCACGACAAGGTGCAGTTGGCCTTCCTAGCCACCTCCCCACATTGCTGACTCATGTTCATCTTGGAGTCAATAATGACTCCCAGATCCTTTTCCACCTCCGTGCTGACAAGAGGGGAGTTCCCCAGCCTGTATGTGTGGTGCCGATTGTTCCTCCCCAGGTGCATCACCTTACACTTGTCCGTGTTAAACCCCATCCTATTCTCCTCTGCCCATCCTTGTAACCTATCTAGGTCCAACTGTAGCCTGTTGCTCCCCTCTATTGTGCCCACATCCCCCCACTTCTTAGTGTCATCAGCAAACTTGAACAGGGTGCTTTGCACCCCCTCATCCAAATCACTGATTGGGTCACAGATGTTCAGTAAACAGATTACTGTTCTTGCCTTTCACTGAGTGCCCACTTTGTTAAATTATGATATGGAGTAATTTTATTTTAAAGACATTTGCATATCTGAGAGAGAACAGAATATTTATAAACAGAATTATTAAAGATTAAATTACTGATTTGCTCTACTTTGGCCTCCAAATGATAACTACCCCATTTCAGCAAAACCAGTTTCCCATGCATAAAAAGACTTCCCTCGTGAAAAACAACCATCTAAAGTTTTCTTTTCATGCTATTACGTTTACAAAGCTTTTTCAGTACAGAAGAACAGGCAAAAAACCCAAAGATAACAGTGGTGGTTTCTTTAAATTAATCAATACATATGAACAAGGCATTAGTGATTTTCCCTAGTTTGTCTGAGACACAGCAAAGTTAGCTCTGCACAGTTAAAGTAAAAGCTAATACTAATCTTTCAGTCAAATGCAACTTACCTGCCAAAATTGGCGGGTAAAAACTCAAGAAAAGCATCATTCAGGTACAGCTGTGTTAGATTTAACAGTTGGGAAAATCCATCTGGAAGCCTACATAAACAAACAAAGAAAAAGTTATGCAATGCTTTTTTGTTTCAGTGTGGTTTAGGCCATTAAGATGTGTAGGAACCATGAAAAAGTGGGAAAGCCAGCAAACAGAGGAGGGAACTCCTGGCGCCCTGAAGCACGGGGGTGGGAAGGAGGAGGAGAGGGAGGGATGGGGGTGAGATTTTCATGGCAGAACACATTGGGCCCTCCCACACCTCTGATTCGCCAAGGGCCCCCAGAAGTCCCAACCCTCCCTGGAGATTGACAGGTAGCCACCTGTCAATTTCCAGGGAGGGGTATACCATCTGGGGCCCTCCCCCACCATGCTCCATTGAGAAAATGGCAACCAACGCTACACCAGGACTGCAAAATCTGGAGGCAGCCTCTGTGAATTAGATAGGTCCCTATCTTTATGATCAGTTTCAAGACCCTTGTTCAGTCTGTCTGAATGACCTGTTATCACACTGCAACCCCCAAGGGAAGATGCACCTCAACAGAACTGCCTCCCCCACTTCTTTTTCCCTAAAAAGTGGAAAAAGTGTAGAGACTGAGCCTGAATCTTATCCACCATGGAGAAGTAACACAAGAAAGAGTTCTTCTGGTAAATTTGCACTGAAATTTGCTCAGGTAAAAAAGGACAGTTTAAGACAGCTTTATACCATCAATAAATTTAGGTGAATTTTCACAGGATCAGTAAAGGGTATTGTCCCCTACAACAAACTCCCCATGCCAAATGTAATGTCCCTGTTCTAAAGCATGGTACATTACAGTTTCTAAATGGAACAAAACATATAACACTGTCAAAATAAAAGTTTCTCTAACTTAACCCTCCGAAGTGGTTAAACTTTTTTTTTTGGCTGAAATTTTAAACAAGTTCAGCCTGAGACAGATCCCATCATGAAAAATTCTAAACAAATGAACTTCAAAACAGGAACAGCTGGGCAACCTTAACTATAGGAAGCACTATCAGCTCTGTGCATCACTAAGTAATGACCAGTAAGAATGCTCAGGTTCTGTCATCAGAATAATTGACTTACTTTGAAATAGGGTTTACGCTGGCCTCAACAATTGTCAAAACTTTACAGTTTTTGATATTTTCTGGAAACTCCTGTATGCCTGTGAAGTAAATAAAAAACAGAACAAATACCTAAATTAAATGCATAGATTAAAATCATATGCAAAGTAACTGACGTTAAACAACAGTAATCCTTTTTAAAGGATTAATTCATGTAACAAATACCACAGTGGCTCTCCCATTTTTCAATTTTGTGGCCTACTTCCACAAGAAAAATATCATCTCCCAGACTACCCGTCCTCACAATACCAATTCCTTCAGTATTTGATTCTGAACATGTTTCAAACTGTGGATTATATTCCACTAGCATCTCCTACTGCCACCACAGGGAACCACTGCTATAGAGATTCTCCTTGATCACTAACACAGATTAAATCTGGACCCAGAGCCCACTGAAGCTAATAGGAGTCTTTGTAGCAAGACTATTTTCTTTATGGCAGCCTTTCAAATATTTAAAAGGTACAATCATGTCTCTGATTAATCTCATCATCAAAAGTAAATTTTTTTTCCCTTTTTTTTTTTTGCCTCATACAGCTTGGTTTTCAACCATTTCATCTTCTTTGTTATTTGCTTCTAGACTCTCTTCATTTCTACGTCTTAAAAATTCTGTGCCCCAAAATGGACACAGTACTGAACATCATATTTACATCAGCACCAAGTAGACTGCTACTGTCACCACCAATGTTTTGAATACAGTGTTTCCATCACTGCAGCCCCTGCCCAATAGCAATGGGGGCAGCTCCAGATAGATGCCCACACCAGGGCAGGATGGAGCCAAAGCAATTGTGCTCTATGGCCCAGGCTGGAGCAGATCCAGAGCCAGGGTAACTGGTGGTGCGGGGTGGGGGACAGAGAAGACAGGAAGCATGGGAGTCCATGGCTGCAAGCAGGGGTGGAGGGCAGAGGCAAGGGGACAAGGGTATGAGAGGACAGCAGGGGAAGAAGGACAGGGGTCAGACTGTTTGCCACTTGCCTCCCTGCCACATACCTTACCCCTCTGCTACTGTTTTCCCAGCTGCAGAGGTAGGAGAATAGGTTTAAGATAACTTTCCAATAATTGGATTCTCTACATGGCAAATTATAACAAATTTATAATTCTACCATGTAAAGAATCTAATTATTGGGGGTGTCATCTTAAATTCAGCATCATCTTGGATTGTGGTAAATATGATAGGTAACATCCACAACATTTCATAGAAGCATAGGATCAAAAGACTGGAAGGGACCTGCAAGATCAAGTCTGGTCCCCTGCCATGGGCAGGAAGCTTTTGGACTCAGATGAACTCAACAAGATATTTGTCCAGCCTCATCTTGAACACCTCCAAGTATGGCAACTGCACCATCTCTGCTGGGAGTGTGTTCCAGATTCTGGTGATCCTTACAGAGAAAGTTTTTTTCTTATGTCCAGCCTAAATTTACTATTAGCTTGTGCCCATTAGTCCTCATCCTCCCCTGAGGTGCCTTCCTGAAGAGTTGCTCCCCTAGATCTTGATGCTCACCCCTGACATACTTGTAGGTAGCTATCAAGTCATGTCTCAGCCTTCTTTTATTCAGACTGAACAGGCCCAGTTCCCCAAGTCTCTCCTCATAGGGCCTATCCTCCATGCCCCATATCATAGAGGTGACCCTTCTTTGTACCCTCTCAAACTTGTCCACATCCTTCTCGAAGTGCGATGCCCAGAACTGGATACAGTACTCCAGCTGTGGTCTCACCAATGCTGAAGAGAGAGGGAGAAACACTTCCTTGGGTCTAACTGGCAACACATCAGCTGATGTACACCAGAGTTCTATCTGCCCTGCTGGCAACTTCATCACACTGTTGGCTCATTCTCCTTTTTCGGTCAATTGTGACCCCCAGAGGTCTTGTTCAGGTGCAGTGCCAGCCAGCAGACCACCACACATCGTGTAGTTATGGTGAGGGTTCTTCCTGCTGAGATGAAGAAACCTGCACCTCTCCCTGTTATATCTCATCTAATTCTGTTCCACCCATAAACCCAGTCTGTCAAGTTCATCCTGGATCTTTACCCTATCCTCTAAGGTGCTCATGTTTCCCCACAGGTTAGTATCATCCACAGACTTATTCATTAAGCTTTCCGCTCCCTCATCCAAATCATTAATAAATATGTTAAAGAGCACATGTTAAAGGGTCCAAGCACAGATCCCTGGGGGACACCACTGGAGAAGGCCCTCCAGGATGAGGCCATCCCATCAATTACAACTCTCTACAATTTTCCTCACTTGACAAATAGTCACCCAGTCAAAAAGGAGAATCAAGTGATTTAGCATGCTTTGTTCTTGACTAATGGGTTAGCTATTAGCAATCCTAATAGAAACGAGTCATTGAGTTTATTTGGTGGAAAAACTTAAGGCTGCTTGCAGACATTAAAAAAACAAAAACAAAACAAAACCGAAAAAACAGTGCTTTATTTTAAAACTTGGCACACTCCTACACCAAGCACAAAGCATTCCCAGAAGAGGCAGTGCGATAGCTGGCCCAGCTCCCCCAATGTCTGTATAGATTGGGCACTTTAGTGGGTGTTTTTTGACACTTATCTAATAGCTGATTGACTCAGCTTTAGATAAAAGTGCCAAAAAGCCCCACTGAAGCACCTGATCTATACATATGCTGAAGATCACTGGAGGCGTACAAGAAAAGGTTTGATAAGCATTTGTCAGAGATGATCTAGGCCAGGGGTGGGCAAAATCCAGCTCCCCTAAAAAATTTTTAAAGATTAAAATGTATTTGTCCTTGGTTCCTGTCAAAGATGACATGAACCAGGGGCAGTAGGACCCAGGGGAAGCCCAGCGGGCTCCTGCAACAGCAGGGCCCACCCAGTGCCACACCCCAGCTGGAAGCCCCAGCCTGGGACCACCTGGCTGCACCAGCACAGGAACAAGCTGGTGCAGAGCATGGGGAAAAGTGCCCCCTCCCCCACCCCATGGCTGATGCTCCCTGCTGCAGCTGCTTGCAGCCCATGCAGGGCTGTCCTGAGCAGGCACAGGCAGCCCCACGAGGGCTGTGAGCGGCTACTGCAGGAAGCGCTGGCCACAGGGTAGGCAAGGGGCTGCCTCTCCCCTGCACTCAGCACCAACTCCTTCTCTGCTGGCAAGGAGGGGGTCGGGCCTGTGTGCTGTCCCCCCATCTGTACTGCAGAGCTGGGGGGGCACAGAGTGAGCAGGCACTGGAGTACAGGGCCAACGCCAGCAGGGCCCAGAGCAGGGCAGCAGGGATATAGGATCCCGGCTGGCAGGGGCCCTACAGAGCTGGGCCAGCTTCCCTTCTCCCTGCTGGTACAGTCCAGCCCGGCTCCACAGATCCCTGATAGCCTGCGGCCTGCTCTGGGCTCCACCAGTGCTGGTCCTGGGACACTGGTCCCAAAATGGTAACCAGGGGGTGGGGCACCCGTCAAGGGGTGGGGCTACCCATGTGGCCCTCGACAGCTTGCCAAAACTGGGTAAGCAGCCCTCCACCTGAAATAATTGCTTTAGATAAAAGTGCCCCTGAGCTAGACTATACTTTTGCTATCATTGCTTGGTTTTGCTGTTGCTACACAAGGCCAAAAAGGAATTTTTTCCCCCCTTCCAGCTGCTACATGCATTAGGATTTTTGGGGTTTTTTTTCCACTTTCCTCAGAAGCACTGGGTATTGGTTGCAGCCAAGCCTAAGAATTTTGTCGTGCCAGTGCATTCACTGGCACTAAAACCTGGAGATTCCTGGATAAAGTGTCTTGCCCTTCTGCTCAGGGTCAGACCAATAGCTATATTTCAGGCGAGAAAGGAATTTTACCCCATTATCAGATTGGTATGGACGATGAGGGGGTTTGCTTTCCTCTGTAGCAGAAGGGTGGCCCATTTCCTTGGATCTCTCAAGTGTATTTTAACAACCTTAAAAACAACTTTAAAAAAGCCTTCGATCTGGTATCCTACGATCACCTCTTGGCTA